TCTCTCATGAAAAATATTATTTACAGCAGCCTATATATATATATATATATATATGTTAACCCTAAAACGGGAAGTTATCACAAATATAGAAAGCACAATATTAGGCCCTAATAATCAGACACAAAATACAATAATTATTCCTCAAATTATTCCTAAAAAGTCTCTACCAAACACCAGTCAACAGAAACAAAAAAAAAAAAAATCAGATAAAAACAAAATGAAATCAAGTGGGAAAATTGAAGCAAATGAAATAGATGAGTGTGGAATAATGTAATTCTCCTTATAATTTTATGAATTATTAAGGGTAAAGTGATAATGTAAAAAATCTGATTAAGTATTTGTTACTACAGATTAGTACGTTTTGGAACAGCTATAACTTGTAGCTTTGTCTAAAAGCCCAAAATGGACTTCTGCATAAGTTAGACATTTAAAAATTGGAGAGCCAGACAGATTGCTTCTGTTTTTGTAGTAGAAAAGCTCTTCCATAAGTCAGGCCAAACATCCACTCGCTCATATTGGAAAAGTCTCGATGGAATGGTTAACAGAGTATATTTTTTGGTTTGTGGCTGGTGAAGTAGGTTTAAGTGCTGAATGCCTTGAAGCTAACTAACTGAACATGATAATCTTTTGGTAAGTTGTTGAGAATAAAAATCTTCTTATTTTACTTTGGAATTTGTTATGCCATTTGTTGTTAGCACTGGTTTAAAATTTAATTTTATATTTTGTTGAGACGTAGAAGCTAAATGGCTAATAAAAGTTTTGGAACTGAATGCTGAAGTGGCTTCAATTAATCATCTCAAACTAATTCATCTTATCTCCTTTGGTTTGATTTATGTTCTTGTGTGATTCTAGTCAAGTCCATATATGCCTCTGTGTGGTAGCCTTCATTCATGTTTTTTGGCTCTAAGGCACACAGGGGTTGCTATGTGCCATGCAGTTGCAGAAAATTTTGTAAACAGTCTTGATACAATTCAACTGTCCCTGTTTTTATGTGTGATGATTTTGAAATAAGCAGTAGTTTGCCATATTGTGTGATTTATTTGTTAATTTTTGGCTTTATTCTTGTGTTTCTGATTCTGAACCATTAAATTGCTAGCTGATTTTATCATCTTACTTGCAATACTGGCAGATCATGTGTTTTGTTACTTAATGACACTTGTAAATGAATTTGATTTGTTACTTTGCAATAACAAGAATTAATGCTCATGCTCATGAAATTTGTAAAATTGTGTCACAGTTGTCAGAGCTAGTGAATGTGGAGGGCTATAGTGATTGGATACGATTGGTTGCTGAGTTCACTTTGAAGTCTTTGCAATCCTGGCAGGTTGATTGATGTTTATTACTTCAAGTATTTAGGAAACTAATTTATGGTCTTATGTGGCTTAATGAGGGTTCCAACAACCTGTAAACTATTTTTCTAGGACCTTGAGCCATTACTTGTGAGCTATTTGTTTGAGAACCTTGAACCATTTACTTTTGATTCATGATACCTTGTGCAACAGAAGCTTATTAGGTTTATACTTTTGTACTAGTGGGCCAGTAGCAGTGTATACTACCTATTAGGGCTATGGTCCAGATTGGTGTCATCTGTTCCATATCTGAAGGGTGATGCTCCAAGTTTGCTGGATGAATTTGTTCCTAAGATCACTGAGAGTTTTCTCACATCAAGATTCAACTCTGTGCAGGTATCTTGCCTCTTGCTTATCCTTTGGGATTAATTGATGTAACTTGAATATTATTGTCCCTTTTCTGTGTGTTCTGTAGGCTGGATTCCCCGATGATCTTTCTGAGAATCCATTGGATAATGTTGAACTGCTTCAGGATCAGCTGGATTGCTTTCCTTACCTTTGCAGATTCCAGGTTTAATAGCTATTTCTTCTCGTTACTTTCATTTGTTTGAAAATGGTCTGGATTTTTTAAGCTTTTCTTTAGCTCCCTTATCTCAGATTTGCATGTCTTTCCTTGTTGGAAGTCTCCAAATGAATGCATATTTAGAATTTATGAGTTTTCTTTATTCTTTGAGCTTTTTTTTTAACTATTTAAAAACCTTTAAGCTTTAGTAGTTGGGAAAAATTTTCAGAATTTCATTGCAAGGAAAAAAAAAAGGTCAAAGGGCATTTATTACATCTCACAAAACTTATGCTGGTCAACTGTGATATGTAGAATGAGCAGAGGATCTGATACTTTTAATTCCTAATCTTCTTTTGAATTGTGTTTTATTATACTATTTTATTTGCTTCCTGATTTCTTTATATCCTTGAGTTGCAGTATGAAAGCAGTGGTTTGTATATAATAAACATGATGGAGCCTATTCTGCAGTCATACACGGTATGGTAATTTATCGGTGAGGCCTCGTTTTGGAGTTGGCATATTGATAGATATTTTCACTTGATGGTCCAACTCTATTCAATGCTTTTAATTCACTTTTGCAGGAAAGAGCAAGATTGCAGACCTGTGATAAAAATGAACTCGCTGTTATTGAAGCTAAACTTACTTGGATTGTTCATATTATTGCTGCCATTCTTAAGATAAAACAATGTACTGGTTGTAGGTAAGAAATTTTTCACTTCTTATTTTAGTTTTGTTAACTATAAAATTACATTATTCCTTTAAGTTTGACCCAATAACTAAAATGTCCCAAACATTCTAATTTTAGCCGTCATGTGACTGCTTTCAAGAATAATGATCACATTCTTTTACTGTGGGCATTAAATTTATCAACTTAGTTGCTACATCAGTGTCACATGTTAACATGAATGCCACATTTCATCTTATTTGACATTCTAATGTGAAAATTTGATTAAAATGAAAAAAATTGGAAAAGTTAACTAATAATAACTGAAATACTGGTGTTGTTTGCATTTTAATGAAAGCTGAATAGTAATTGTGTTTAGCTCACTGAAAGATGACAACACCTATCTTTGCTTACTTTCAGAAGGAAATGAAAATGAAAAATATCTCATGTTAAAGAAAAGAGAGACGACCCGATAAATTAAAAACCCATTTTTAAAATTGATCCACCTAAATATCCACAAGTGAAATTTGAGAGATTCCTGGTGGTCATTTCACAAGTGAAATGAATGAAAAAAGATTTTGAAGTCAATTCCCTCAAACCTGTTTATCAGAGACGAACTCTATTGTTAGAACGTATCAGGAGATCTTGCTTTTATTACTGTTTTAACTTATAGCCTCTCTAGGAAATTAAGGGCAGGATTTGGAATGACTAGAACCAACTTCTTAGTATCCTGGACATTGATTTTGGTTGTTACACAGTTGGAGGGTTTTCTCTTTGTCCATGTAGTTATGAAGATCTTTCTGTATTGTCCTCTGTTTCTTCTGTTTTCCATTAAATCAGCAAATTTCTGGGTATAATTTTAAAAATTCAATTAAATACAAAAAGTAATTACATAATTAAGTTTCCTTGTGGGAATGAGCATTAAAGGGAGAGATCTGTCAAGACATCTGAGATTCTATGAGCTGGAAATTGGGGTTTCTGGACTAGGTTTGAAGAGTATGCAAAGGAAAAAATAATAGATAGAGGGTGTATAGTTTGAGGACTTTGCAATGAGAGTGATTTTAGAGAGGTATAAAAGAAGAAAGGATTTAAGGGGAAGTCAGAATGAAGAGAGAAAATTGTGGTAGTTAGCGTAGATAGAAGAAAACTGAAAAAGGAGAAAGAAGAATTAAAAAAAAAAGAAACAAAAAATGCAAACTAAGTCAAATATGAACATATCAGGTTGTTAATATTGCACATTTAACATTAACTAACTGAGCGATTTAATTGATCTTTCTTCAAAATTTTGGTCACTTGATTGTTAATATGAAATTGTATGGACATTTTAGTCTTATTGTTTGAACTTTTGGGATGTTATTTTTAGTTTTACTCAGCTGGCATCCTTCAGAGTTATCAATCTATCTGTTACATTTCTTCATGCAGTATGGAGTCACAAGAAGTGCTTGATGCGGAACTCTCAGCTCGCGTTCTGCAGTTAATAAATGTCACTGACAGTGGATTACACAGTCAGGTATACCAGGAGTGGTAACTCAGTTTAGATAATATTTATTTTTAATAAAATATGTAAATTAAGTTGTATGATTTGGATGTTGAAGTCCTATTTTTCTCACCCGATAATGGTATAACTATGTTGCTTGGACTTGTCAAAAGTTGATTACCTTTGTTGAGACAAGGGTTTGGGATCTATGTTGACACAGTGAAAAGCCCAAGGCATGTGTTCATGGCATGCCAACAACATTGTTGGCAGCAGACAGGATTTCTAGATTGTTGGTGCCATAGTGGGTAAGGATAGAAAAGGGTTAAGTATCTCAACGAGAGAGAAGGAAACCAAAGAAAAAAAAAAAGAAGCTAAAACAGGGAGGAAGAAAGATGAAGTGGCATGATCAAAGTGGTTTCATCTTGGCAGCCTGCTGCCATCACAAAGATGATGACAATGAGCGGAAGCTGCTGTGCTTGGGTGTTCTTAAGGGGGAGGGGAAAAGAAATAAGGTATAACATGATTCCTGGGTTTTGGACTTAATCTTGAACTAATAATTCGTGGTCTAGTTGGTTATTTGGGTTTCTTTTAAACCTTCTTTTAATCTGTGTGTTTCCTATAACAAACTTGGGCTAATAATACTCTTTTGTTTTTTAGTTTCTAAATGGTGTGGGCCTTTTACAAATAAAATGGACTAGTTTCACATCGCAACACTTGCTTTTCCAATTTTTCCAATAGAGAATACGCTAATTCTGTGATTCAGGAGCATCCTAGAATTTTACTGAGTGGTAATATTGATGATGATGATTTCTGTGATCTTGTGCTCATGAATACTGCTCTTATTTTCTTGGGTAATTCTTGATAATGTAATCATGACATGGAACTTCACACTAAGCTTAATGCTTATGCATTTTCTAGAGGTGATAACCTACAAAAGAAAGTTGTTAAAATAAAACTGTTCATTCCTTTTTGGGTAGCAATATAAATGATTTTTATCTGCGGAGGAGTTTGAAGCTGAGAGTAGTTGACGTCAAGATTTTTATCTTATAGTTAGCAAGTTTATGACTTTGTGTAGAATGACCAGATTGGTGAATTACTATAACAAGGTCTTGAAGGTTAGCAGTTGTTTGAAGAATCTCAAGAGTTGCTTACCACTGATTTGCCACCTGTTTTACTACAAACCATGATTTTCTAGCATGCAAGTGATTTGGTTCTAGAGCTGCATTGGCTTACATGCCAGCTTGTAGGATGCCTATTTCATGAGATGATAATCCCTGGTGCTTGTCTAGCCTTGCTCCTATGAGGGATAGTTCATCGATGATGTGAGTTTGGCTTGCCACTTACAGATTACAACCAATTATTGGTTTCCCTGACCTTGTTTAGGAAACATATTCAGTTAATTACTGATTCCGTGGTGTTCTCTAAATCTGATCTAAAAAGTCATTGCCAGCCATGCTAAGGAGTGGTGATGAGTGGAAAATGGTCTTTATGAATGGTTAGGGGTAATGTTTGATCTCGAATGCATCAAGCACGTCGAGGCAAAGTTCTGAAATGAAATTTGGCTGGTAATGCTTAAGGTGTATTTGTGTGGTGTAAGATGCATGTTTAGCAATTGTCAAGAATAATGGGTTAAGTGGTGTTATCTCACAGTTAAGAGCGTTTGTTGTGGCCTTATATTCAACTTGAGCCTCTTCACCTATTGTTGATTGGTTTTAGATTGGATGCTTATCATGGCACCCCAAGTTCATATGCTCTTTTTTTTTTTTTTTTGTTATTTGTTGTTAGTTGTCAATGTGGTAGGCTTATTTATTTTGGTTGTTAGTTTTAGGCCTACATGTGAGAAGTGTTAAGTGCTATTACCCACATCAGTTTAATTTGACGATTTGTTGCAGCCTTATTAAGGTTACGCCATTTCACCTATGGCTAATTGGTGTTAAATTCTAGCATGTTTTAATGTGGGAAGACCTAGGTGCAACATCAAAAGAAAAATATTACTATTATTATCTTATTCTAGAAAATAGGGGGATAAGTTGTTTGAAATTTGAAGGATAAGATGTTGCAGCCATTTTATTATCTATAGATTGTTGCCTTTTGTTGTGTGAATGGTTAAATTAATACTAAGGCTCTATTGATGTTGTTGGGATCAAAATGTTTGATTTTCTTCCATGGTTTGACATGCAAGTTCTGTTCATTGAGGAGGTTAAGCTTAATTTGTTGTATGAATGGAAGTGGCTTGATTGTTATTGTTACCTGTGGGTCAATGTTTTCATTGACATGGCAGTTTTTTGTTTGTCACCATTGTTTTAGGTTAATATGCTGGAAGTTTATTATTTCAAAATTATATACTGGAAGTTGAAGGGCTGAACATCTTACTGCTTAATCCAATGGAAAAGGGGAGGATTATTGTAATCCTGTGGGATAGGATGATAGGTATGGGGTAGGTTTGCACGCACCAAAAATTGGATAGAATGATAGTATCTAATAAAATCCAGTTACCTTATTTTATCCATCCTCTGTTGTCCTGTGCACCAAATGCACCCTCATTCCTTCCATACTTAACTTGAAAGACTATTACCTACTATTAAACATCTGCTGATCTATTCTCTTGATAGTCCATTAATCATGTTCTTAATCAACCACCTCTAATGGGTAGATCCTTTGAATGTACTGAACATGTTATGGCCTTCTCTTGTTATGCATTGAAGCATTATTATTAATCCACGAACTATATTTCTTGAATTTTACAATTTTATGTGTCATTGATTCCATGAATTTGGCATTTGGCAGAGGTATGGTGAGTTAAGTAAACAAAGACTTGATCGAGCAATTCTGACCTTCTTTCAGCATTTTCGCAAGTCTTATGTTGGTGATCAAGCAATGCATTCATCTAAGGTAAAAAAAGTTATATTTTTTTTTTGTAAAATCTAGTGGTTTGTATGTTAGTTGAGCCTTTCACTTTCTGTTACAGCAGTTATATGCTCGTTTATCTGAGCTGCTTGGACTGCATGATCACCTATTACTATTAAATGTGATTGTTGGGAAGATAGCTACAAATCTAAAGTGCTACACAGAGGTTAGTGTTTTGATCTTGCTATGTCTTTGTATTATCATGCCGATGGTTGATACATTAGCTTAATTGGTGTTTATTTCAGAGTGAGGAAGTCATTGATCATACTCTAAGTTTATTCTTGGAGCTGGCATCTGGGTAAGCTTTTCTCAGTTTTAAGCTTTTCCCAGTTTTTGTCTAATAGAATTAAAGCTGTTTGTTGTTTTGTCTGATAAAAGTCGTACACTTCCCAATACAGTAATTTGCTTGTTTGACCAATGAATAATTTCGGCAGATACATGACTGGAAAGTTGCTTCTGAAGCTGGAGACTGTTAAATTTATAATTGCAAATCATACTGTAATTCCACTCACAACATATTTCTTTTTTGTCTAATTGCTTTAATTTGTTTGTTTTACATGAATTCTTCATCATGAAATTATTTCTTGAAACTTGATTTCAGAGAGAGCATTTTCCTTTCCTAGAAGAATATAGATGCTCCCGTAGCAGGACAACTTTCTATTACACCATTGGTTGGTTGATATTCATGGAGGATAGCCCTGTGAAATTCAAGTCTTCAATGGAACCACTTTTGCAAGTACACTCTCTTTCTTACAAAGTGACATGATAGTCCCCTTTACGTATGCTTATTGGTAAAAATATTTGTTATGATTTGTATCATAACCTTTGAAGGATGAAGTTAGCTGCTTTTTGGGGGATGGGAAATGCAAGTAGTATGTGCTTTAATGAGTTGTCATTTATGCGATAAGGATGTTGGACAGAATGCCTCTCTAATTTCTTTGGAAGCTCTGTGTGCTTTTGTTGAGTTTATGGGTTGTGTTCTTGTTATTGGATTGTTTTAGCTTCATTAGACTTAAATTAGTTAATTGTTATAAGGTATGGGGTAACAGACTTGGAGTTGTCCTTCCGGGTTGGTTCATATTGGCTACGTGTTGGGGCCTCTTTTTGTTGAAATTTGTATTTCAACTATTTATTAATAAAATTATGCTTGCTTTTCAAAAAAAAAAAAACTTTGTCAGCATAAAAATTGTTATTGTATGACTTAATGTGCATAAATACCAATTCTCTGTTTTTATGGTTTTTAACATGACATTGTTCTGTTGTTTTTCCATTATTTATCTTTTCATTTACACTTTAGTCATCAAAATAATGTTTTGTGGTGCTTCAGGTCTTTCTCAGCCTGGAGTCAACACCTGATTCAGTATTTCGTACTGATGCTGTTAAGTATGCTTTAATTGGATTAATGAGGGATCTTAGAGGTATTGCGATGGCCACAAACAGGTTTGTATTATGTGCAATACGTGAATTCTTCTAAATGTAGGCAATTCCTCAAATAATGTATTTTTTCATTTCTCGAATTCCTTAGTCGTAGAACATACGGTCTTCTATTTGATTGGCTATATCCTGCGCACATGCCACTTATCTTGAAAGGCATTACTCACTGGACTGACACACCAGAGGTACATTCTTAACTCTTGTTATAGCATTAGGGTCTCAACGTAGCAATTTTTGTTTACACATTTATACATTTGGGTTGAAGATCCTTCAATTAAGTTTTTCCTGTTCTAGCAGATGTGTTACCATTAATAGAACAACTTTGCTCTCATATTAGTCAGTCAATGTTGTAGATGACCTAACCATCTTTGCTACTTCTGGCGTATCTGCCAGTTTTTTCTCAGCTGCTGCTATGCTGGATTTGTTATTTGTTGTAGTCTTGTCTTGTTCAACTATTTTAGCACTCTATCTTGTTGTACTCTTTTTGTCAGGGAATTCAGAATATTAAAGGTAGGTCTGTCCTGGGCCTTCAAAAAACTGTTCCCACTTATTTTTGATGAGCATTACTTAAGATTGGACTCAGGAAACTATTTTTTGCTTCTATCTTGTGTAATTTGGTTGTTACATTTGCTCCACCATTCTCTCACCTCATCAACGACTGGAAGATATTGTGAACTAGAGTTACTTGTAACTTCTGCATGTCTTTTTGTAGTCTCTGTATTTTTATTTTATTATTTTTACTTTTCTCCATCTAAATATTAATTTAAATGTGGTGCATTTGTTGCATTAGTATCACGCCAATAAACTCTTGTACTGGGTATGTAATTGTTTCATTTAACACTGCAGGTTACCACCCCATTGTTAAAATTCATGGCTGAGTTTGTCTTGAACAAGGCACAACGCTTGACTTTTGACTCGTCTTCTCCTAATGGGATTCTTCTTTTCCGTGAAGTCAGTAAACTACTTGTAGCATATGGGACAAGGATATTATCTTTGCCTAATCCGGCTGATATATATGCCTTCAAGTACAAGGGAATATGGATTTCACTAACTATTCTGGCAAGAGGTCAGAATATGAACCTGCAATTGTTATATTTATTTATTTGATCAATGGAGACTCCAAACACTAAATTGAACCAAGGAGTGGCAAACCCTGTGTAAAGCTAATTTTTAGGTCTAGAAGATCAATAAAGTCTAAGGCACTCTTTATTTTGGGTTTAGTTGGAGTACCAGCAATACTTTTCTATATTTACTATGCACATGTTTCATTAAATTGGTATTGTTCTTTTATCTTTTTTATATATTTTTTTTCTTCCTTATCTTCCAGTGCTTCCACTCTCTTTTGATATAGATGTTCATTAGTGTATACATTTAAATGTTACGATGAGCTAGCTTTTTAAGAAGTTTTGTTCTGCCGAGCATGTAGTGTTGATCTTTTTAGGAAGTTTTGCAGTTGTTCAAGATTTATAAACATGTAGTGTCGAGCTGTCCACAGGCTTAGCAACCCACCATCCTAGTAGCCAAGTCCAATATTTGAGCAGGCTACTGGTAAGAAAATCAGGCTGAAGTTTTTTGCGCTGTGCCTGGGCGCTAGAATTGAAGTTGTGGCCCAGCTTGAATATATGTTACTTTTATGTATTATATAATTTGTTTCAGTGCTTATGTGTACTCCCACATAGCACTGTTGCTTTTTTCTCTCTTCAAAGCATGTGCACCAGCCTCCAACTACTCCCTTCCTCAAAATCCCCCTTCCCCAAAATAAAACACAAGTCCAGAAGCAGCATGGAATTCCTTTTTTGGTCCTTTTCCTCAAGCATTACTCTATTTCCTCCTATTTTCTCTTTCCTCTTTCATCTTTTGGTTTAGGGTAACTGTTATTTTTGAGTTTCTGTTTATATCCATTGAACTTTTGAATTTCTTAATAGATTTCATTTCCATTCAAAGCTGAAAGTTTTATAATTGGATTTTGTTTCTTTCCATGATATGCGATTTTTACTTGGTTTTGCTTTCCTAATTTTCTGGGATTGGGTTTACCAGTTGATACTGAAATAAGAAACTAGTTGAAAGAATAGTTTCAAGTGACAGCTAGAAAAGATGATTAAGGCTGAGATATCCCATATTGCCCAAGAAGATTCTTTTCTTTGGATCATGCCATCATCTCATTATCCCATACTGTTCATGGTTTCTTAGATTTTTCCAAACTCTTTAAGGTTCTCTACAAAGGAAGTGGGATCTATATTAAAACTAGCTTATATGAACATTTATAAGAAAAAAAGGCACTAGAGTATTCTAAAGAAAATTATATAATTTAGGTGCAAAGTTTCCTTTTACTGGTTTTCTGTTATATGATTGAAATATTTTTTTTACTAATTACCAACATTAATTAGTCATTTACTTCAAGAATTTAATTTTGACCTCCTTGTTGGTAGCATCAAATTTGTATTTGTTGCTTATTGTGCTTTATTTAAGATTTCAGCAAATCACAAATTAACTTGTCACTTTTAATTAATGGCAGCTCTTGCTGGAAACTATGTAAACTTTGGTGTGTTTGAACTCTATGGTGATAGAGCACTCTCTGATGTGCTTGACGTTGCTCTAAAGATGACATTGTCAATTCCGTTGGCTGATATATTGGCATTTCGAAAGGTACACAAGATTTTGACTGCAATTTCTTCATTTGAGTTTCCACTGCAAACTGTCTTTCACAATTCTATCGTCGGAAGTGTCTGTCTAATCAGTAGCAAATCTTTTGGCAAACTTGCGTTGGAAGAACTTGAACGTTGTGCACTTACTAGTTGAGAAGTAAAATATTTTCTATATTTTGATTCATTAAGGATCTCAATTAAAAAAAAAGTGTGACTAAAGTAATTTTGCTGGTAGACTTGGTTGATGTTTACATTTCTGTGGATTCTCTTATATATTTGTATATGCACGAGCATGTGTGTATCAATATAGCATCAACAAGTCACCAAATTTTAGGAGCAGAAACAAATAATGTTTATGAAGGGAGGATAGCTAAAATATTAATCATCATTCAGCCAACACTATGATGTAAACGCTCCAACAATTGATGTGCTATCATCATTTTCAGATTCAACCACTTCTTTTGTACTTTTTCACCTAAAAAGACCTCTTTGGTCGTTCTTTATGATGTTGTCACCCTTCAAATTTTTCTCTCTAATTTTTTGTAATGTTTATTCAATCTTTTTGTATCATTCGCTTTGTCTGCCGTAGTCACTACTCTCCATTCCCAAAACAATTTAGATTTAAAGTTCTCAACTTTTTAGGCTCAATCTTTTCATTAAAATTTTAAAAACTGCAAATCTCTCAATGATAGACATTTCTCTTTGTTCCTTCTCTTATCCGTCTACTCTTCTGTGTCTCGCTCACTAATAAATTTGGATGACCAAACTTAGATTTAGTTGGTTTTCTTTTCCTTTTGTTTTCGCAATTTTCTCACTGAGAAAAAATGATGAATCAAATCATGGTTTCACTTATATCTTTTTTCATTACCTTCAATTTGAAGATTTTTTTTTTCTTTTCTTAAATTCCAATGCTAGTTAATTTGAACTTTGAATGGTTTGCTGTTTTAATAGTAAACTTTAGCCACTGGTTTATAGTGAGGTGTGAAAATGGTAGTTGGGAAGAGGAAGCGAGTTCTTAAGGGAAAATACATTCATTAGACAGTGAAAAGAAAGCTGGGAACTGATTGATTATTAGAAAAGCAAAAAGAAAAGAACAAACATTGCTTTTGTAAGCAAGCACCCAAAATAAAAATGATGAAGATCTAATAGTGGATCAGCCTGTTATGTAAAAATCTACTGAGGCACGATTAGCCCTTCTTTATCGTCCTGTTATGTAAATTTCTTGAACTATTTTACTAGAATGAATGGCAATATCATATTGTTTACTTATTCTTTTGCAGCTAACGAGGGCCTATTTCTCCTTCTTAGAGGTTCTATTCAACAGCCACATTAGTTTTATATTGAATTTGGATGCTGCAACATTTATGCATATTGTTGGTTCGCTTGAATCTGGTCTAAAAGGTCTGGATACAAATATCTCATCACAGGTTTGTATCTTGCTGTGAATTCTGTGGATCTTTACCTGCTCTTCTTTTATTGCTGGAACTGTTTATTTTAATATTTCAAGCTGTTTCTTGATTGTAAAAGTAGAATTTAACGGAGATTTTTATCGAAATTTTATCATTTCTGATGTCTTCCCCAGCCTTTATACCACATATATATTTAAAACTCAATCTCAGAGTCTAAACATTTCGTTTCAGTGTGCATCTGCTGTTGATAATTTGGCTGCTTTCTACTTCAACAACATCACTATGGGGGAGGCACCCACTTCACCAGCTGCTGTCAAACTTGCCCAGCATATTGCAGACTGTCCTAGTTTGTTTCCACAAGTAAGTGATGGACTTCCTAATATATTATGTTTCCTTTGTTATTATTTGCAGTTAGTGTTAAGAAAGTACATGTGTTGTGTGTTTTGGTTTGTTTCATTCTCCTCTTTATGGCCTCTATACACTCTAATATATCTTATTGTTTTGGTGCATAATACCACACAACTCACGCATAAAAATCTTCTACACATTCTGTCCCATTTAATTGCTTAGCTTATTTTTTACAGCATGATTTTCCTTCTACTGTTATCTTATATTCATGTGCTCTTTAAGAGCTTGATGTATCATTTAAAGTTGGCTCCAGTACATTATATAGAGTCGTATTGTTTCAGAACTTTTTCAAGTCTATCTTGTGAAATATGGTGTATCGCATTGCATCCTATGAAATATTTATGTATCTACCATAACATACATACATAATATGAGACTGACTTGCAGTAACTCAAATGCTTTGTAAGCCCATAATCATGTGGGCTCAAGTCTATTAATGAAGACTGTATAAATTTGTAAATAAAGTATTATGAACTCTTGAAATTATAATGTATTTAGTCATCAATTTAATAAGTAAATCTTATAAAAATGCTACTTAAGTATGATGAGTCCACTAAATCTTTTTCAGTACTAGGTCGACTGTATGAAGTTCTGTAAATATAATAAAGACTTTCATAAACAAAACCTGTGAACCTAATATCTGTTATTAAGATAATTTTTTTTTAATTCTTACTACGGATAAGTGCTATTTTTATGACAGATTAAACTGTGAATTATTTTTATAATAAAGATTTTGATAAGTATTTGAATTATTCTTTTTTTTTAATTTTTGAGAATGTTATGAAATACATTGTGAGGTTTTCTTCTTTAATTAATATGTGAAGAGATTTAATTTACTTCTGATTTAAGGTAACATTCAGCAAATATCAGTTTGTTCATGAACAAAAAAGGTTGCTTAAAATGCCCTCTCTCTCTCTCTCTCTCTCAGCATTGTTTGATTGCTTTATAGATTTTGTGAGTATTTTCTATGTTGGTATTTATCTTCAATTTCAAATGTATATGAGAAGAAAAGTCTTTTTTGTGAGTTATATATATATTTGCTTATTTATTTATATTTTCTTATAAAAAGCCTATTTTCCCTTTTCCATTCTTTCTACCAAGCAAAATGGTAGTCTTTGACATATGTGAATTTCGGATGATAGTCAAATGGGGATTGGAATCAAATACTTGATTCACCATATGGATGTCATACATACCAAGCTACACATTGTTTTGATGAGAAATGATTTTAGAAAATCAAAATATAGAAATGTGACATATTCTAAACTAGAAGAAGGATGTATTTGAATCAAATATTGACCTTTATTAAATTGAATGAAAGCGAAAGTTCATCATTCTTAGTTGTGTGATTATGCGTCTTACCAAATTGCCTAGAAGAATTATAGAATTATAGTCTTGGCCATATATGGTCAAGAAAAGAAGAAAGAAACAGGGTATGTTGAATACTGGGTGAACAATGTGTTCAGAATTCACCTAAGATGTGTTCAGAATTTACCTAAGATGACTTCGAATTCAGGATACTATGCTTGATGGACTTGAAGTATGATGTTAAAAACCTAATTTTGCTTTGGAATTTGGTGAGTCTTTTATGCACCAAAATATACATGTTCATTTCTGGTTGTCTACAAATAAATAAGTTAAAAGGCCCTCTCTTCATGCACTTAGATTGTGCTATGCATGCTTAATCTAAGTCTTGAAATCAGTAATGTTGGTAACTTGCTAATATAATTAAGAAATAATGGCCTTTCCTTTTCATGTAATATTAAGAGATTAACTCCTACTTTACGTAGCACATAATGTTAGCCATGTTAATATTTGAAAGTTGAACTTTAAGGGCTAACAGCAGTTGCTGTTATAAGGCATCAATCCTGCATTGTGGTTTGAACCATTAATATTTGCGATGGCTTCTTTCCCTATGTTTTGTTTTTTGGACAGTCCAATTACATTCTGTTCTTTCATTACAGATATTAAAGACGCTATTCGAGATAGTTTTATTTGAGGATTGTGGCAACCAGTGGAGTCTTAGCAGGCCTATGTTGAGCTTAATTCTTATCAGTGAGCAGGTGATGATTTGCTGATACTTTTCTTTAACTTTTCTGTTAAATCCTCTTTTAAGTTTAGGTCCAGCAGATGATTGATTTTTTTTCACAATTATTTACTTATGGAACGTTTTTAGAAATTTGTATAGTGAAGATTGGTGAGGAAACGTGAATAAAATGTGTTAGCGTTATCATTCTGTATGACTCAAATCCTTGGTCCTGTCTGTAAAATTATAGGATTATTAATGTGAAAAATAAGGATAGAAAACATTTTCATGTGCAGTGTTTCCATAAGCGGACCAGTAAGAGAATCGGTTTGAATGGTTCAATTTTGCCGTCTAATCTTAAGGATGTCAACATATATTACCTTAAAACTTCTCATGCCTTAGCAGCTGACCTTTAATTACATCAATAACAAATGTGGTGTTAGTGCTTCCAGCTGCCTGCATTTGATCAATTTCTTGTTCATTTCATTTTTTTTCCACGATAATTCAAACCTTTGAAGATTTCAGAGCAGGCTCAACATTGCTACTCCAAACTTTTGTTCCTTTTTCGTTCTATTCTTTTTTCTTTTAGTTATTCCATTTAACTAGTTTCTTTCTTATTTTTTTTGTTTTTCTTTTAATTCATTTTCTTCTCATCACTACCAGCCGTGTTTCTCTCTTCCTCTCCTCAGTTTCTTCCTCCATTTATATCATGGCTCAAGCCAGCAGCTTAGCATAGATTTTGGTATGAAAGTTTTTTATACCAAATCTGCTATGAAAACTTTTGACAGATCTGTTATGAAATTTTATAGATCTGATTTTTTATATCCCATATTCAATTTTATTTTTTTAAATAGTTGGATCATAAAAATATAAGATCTGATTTGAGTTTTGATAGCTTTTACTTCTCTCTAACAACTATTTTTGTGTAGTCAACGAGTTGCCGGCTTCTCTGGTTTTTGACTAATTTGCATTGCATGCCGCTTGATTTATATGTCTGGACTGGAGAGGCTAATGGTCTGCGGTTGAACCAGTTCAACCATATGGCCCGGTTCGTTTATGACAAAACTGGCCATGGGCCATGTAAAGGCAACCATGCTTTTAGTTGTAATTGAGCCTTATCAGGTTTGATATATGGTGTAGTTTACACATCAAGATGTGGTTTTTATTATAACTTTATGTTAGAATTTTGGGATAGAAGAACGTTGTCATTTTAATTTCCATATGACTTAGATCCTTCTTGTTGTCTGTAAAACTCTCATATCATTAAGGTTATCATATGTATTGGGGATGAGAGAGTTGTAGATTGAGACAGGTTCTTATAGAAACTTATGGTAGAATTTATAGTTTGACCTGCTGCTTTCTATCATAAATAAGTATA